GCAGAGGGCAGATAGCTGTGTGAAGACCGAGGCAGAGACTGGGGTTACGCTGCAGACGCAAGCCAAGGAGCGCCTGGGGCCTCCAAAGGCTGGGAGAGAGGAGAACAGAGCTTCCCTAGAGCCTCTGGAGGGTGCGGGCCCCGCCAGTGCTGATTTTGGACTCCATGCCTCCGGAACTGTGAGAGAATGAGTTTCTGATGCTTTAAGCTGCCCAGTTTGTGGTGCTTTGTTACGGCAGCCATAGTGAGTGACTAGTCTGACACTCATGGTTTGTACTTTTTCTATAGTTATTATACTTCAGTAAAAAACTTCACATGACTGTGATTTGGGGAGAGAGAAAGCTGTCCTTTTATAACTACACCTTGGGTCCTCTAGACAGAGCCCAACCTGCAAGTTTCCTTTAGCAAGGTCAGGACCCTGCTCAGATCAGAACTTGAATTGTTCAGGTAGAAGGCAAGGGACCCTTCTTCTAAGGCCATTTTTATTTCAAGCAAGTTATGATGGAAGGGCTTGTGGGTCCCGGCTGGGGGCAGTGTCAGGGTCTTCCACATTGGGAGAAATTACAAAGCGGTAAAGTTAGGAGGAGGGCATTGGTGGTTCACGGTCAAAGTCTCATCTCCCACGCGGGAGCTGTGGGTCAACTCCCAGCCAGCGCACCTCATGTACAGCCACCACCTGTCTGTCAGAGGTGGCTGAACACGCTTCAGCGGAGCCTCCAGACTAAGGCAGACTAGGAAGAAAAGCCTGGCAACCTACTGCCAACAATCAGTCAATGAAACCCGATGGATCACAACAATCCAATCTGCAACTAATCATGGGGATGGCACAGGACTGGGTAGCGCTTCATTCCGTTGTGCACGTGGTCGCCATGAGTCAGAGGCTGACTGGACCCAGCTACCAACAGCAGAGCTAGGAGAGATGGGTCAGCAGATGCTCAGGTGAGATGCGTGCATGCTTGTGACTCTTCCTGCAGAATCACATCATGGACGACTACACACATTCTTCATTAGCCCCAACAGGGCTGTTGAGGGCTTGTCACTGAGAACAGTGGCCGTGGGTCAAGGACGGGAGGGTGCCCCACCGGGTGGACAGCCATCATCCTCTCAGACGTGGACGCCCTCCCAGGGTGTCTGACAACCGGTAATGAACTCCAGCAGTCCTCTCTGGACGCATGTGGCGTCATGGTGAGGAGGGAGGCAGAGAGAGAGTGGGAGAGGCGGCTCCAGGAGAGTCCAGAGGTGGAGAGCCACAGGTCCGTGGGTCAACAGGCTGTCTGAGGCCTCCCTGGCCAGCTGGACAGCTGGGCCTTCAGAGCCAGTGTGATCATCACCAACTGTTACGTAGAAGAAATGGCTGCTAGTCAAGTCTTCAGATGACACAGTCTGGCTCCTGTTATGAGGGACAGGATGAGGAGAGGCACCGGGGACCCAGGCCTCGGACCAGGAGGTCCCAGCTGTTTCCTTTTCCTGGGCCTCTGTTTCATGCTTCTGGAAAACGGGGACTGGACGCTGTCTCTCAGTCTGCCATCCTAGGATACTGTGGCAGACACCAGTGTTCTTCCCTGTCTACTGTCCCTGTCCTCTTGGCTAACAGCCACCTCCTGTCAGCATAGTCCATTCTCCTGCCCACAGGGATTAGTTCAGGGAATTCTTTCATGACTCAAGCTGGGCCCATGAGCACCGGCCCTAAGACATCTGCTGGAAGTGCTGGGAAAAGGAATTCTTCTTTCTGGGAGTGGGTATTGTCTTAGTCATCTAGTGCTGCTCTAACAGAAATACCACAAGTGGATGGCTTTAACAAACAGAAATGTATTTTCTCACAGTTTAGGAGGCTAGAAGTCCAAATTCAGAGCACCAGCTCCAGGAAATGCTTTCTCTCTGTCGGCTCTGGGGGAAGGTCCGTGTCGATCAGGAGAGCCTCTTCTTAGCTGTGCCCACAGGCATGCCTCTTTCTGGCCCTCGGCCCCCTGGCCCCACATCCTGGCTTCTGCCCTGCTCAGTTAAGTGTTACAAAGCTCTTTAGCTTCACCAATAAGCGCCCAGAGGCACCCTACTCTTCCAGGAAGCCTCCTGCCTGAAGGCACTCAGCTCTCTCACTCTGTGGGTCAGCTCCAGCGTGATCTCGTGTCGGTCTCCTGGTTCTGCTGCTGCCGTTTCTCTGTCTCTGCTTCTCACTGTCTTGTACCATCTCCCATGTTACAGTTCTCTTTCTGTGTCTCCTGGTTCTAGGAGGTTCTCAACGCGAGGACACCGGGTCCATAGGAAGTGCTCCACTCCCATCTCTTCTTGGACGCATTGAGGTCCCTATCTCTGCTTGCTTCTCTCTCCTTTTATCTCTTGTAAGATAAATCATGTGACTCAAATAAGGGTGTGACTTGAATAAGGGTGGTAAGGGTGGTGACTTGAGTCACACCTTCTAGTAAAGTGGTGACTCAAGATACATCCCCTCCTAATCCTGCCTCATTAACATAACAGACAACTCACTCCCAAATGGGAGCATAACCACAGGCATAGAGGCTAGGATTTACAACACATCACAAAATGGAGGATAATTACATTACACCACAAAATGGAGGACAGTCACACAATACTGGGAATCATGGCCTAGCCAAGCTGACAAATATTTTTGGGGGACACAATTCAAACCATAACAGTGGTGTTTGCTGAGTTGGTGGAAGGTGAGTCTGAAGCTGTTGGTGGTCATCTTTACCTCCACATAAGGAGGCCCTGCCTAAGAAAAGAGCCAATGAAGGAAGACAGAATTGAGCAACACACAGAGACAATGCCAGTGGCATCATCTGAGTCCCTGGGTCCAGCTATGCCTGAAGCTAGTTATAAATTTCTTGGATTAAGCCAGTTTGAATTGATTTTTGTCACTTGAAACCAAAGAATCCTAAAAAGAACTAAAACAATCTTGAAGAGTTGTAACAGTGAGTCAAAACCAACAACAGGGATAAAATTTCTCTATTCATGTTCCAAGAAATAATTGACAGGTAAATATTTTTTTAAACCCCTAGTTTTGCAGTTTTAGTAGGCCACAAGTTTACCATAGGTCACTAAGATGCTGCCAAAGAAAGCTTGCACAAATGATTGTAGGAATTAAGAATTGTACTAGGGTGTGTGTGCAAGAGATGGAGTGATGTGTGGAAAAGATGGGGTGATGTGTGTGAGAGATGAGGTGATGGGTGTGTAAGAGATGAGGTGATGTGTGGAAAAGATGGGGTGATGTGTGTAAGAGATGAGGTGATGTGTGTTAAGAGATGAGGTGACGTGTGTGTAAGAGATGAGGTGATGTGTGTGGAAGAGATGAGGTGATGTGTGGAAAAGATGGGGTGATGTGTAAGAGATGAGGGTGATGTGTGTGGAAGAGATGGGGTGATGTGTGTGCAAGAGATGGGGTGATGTGTATATAAAAGATGGTGTGTGTAAGAGATGGGGTGATGTGTGTGTAAGAGGTGGTGTGTGTGTCTAAGAGTGTGTTAGTGGAGGCTATTAGATTATTGCTTCGCTGCCAAAACCACAACTGAGTGTCGAGACCATGAGGGGTGGGGTATCAGCTCAAAGGACTGGTAACCATTACGACAAAGGTGCCCAGACCCCCGACCCCTGGGCCCAGGGAGGTGCAAAGGACTCCTCAGGCAGGCTGTCTCCCTGCTCAGGTGCGAGGAGGGATGCACACAGTGGTTGTTCTGTCCCTTCCAGTTCTACATTCTCTGCCTTTTAAGGGTCCATGATTCTCTGGTTTGAAATGTGAAACCTATCGCTCCTGACTCCATGTCAATCATCAGTCAGCAGTGGAATCTGCAGAGAACCACCGCTGTGTGTGGTAGTGTCCTGGATGCCTGGACTGGGGCAGGGGCCTTCAGCTGGGCAGATGGCCTGGCACAGTCTGGTGGGCAGGGGTTGGGAGATGGGCCCACAGCTGGCACTGCCCATCCCTCTCTGGCTGGGCTCCGAGGCAGTCCTGAGCAAGCAAGACAGGGTGACTGGAAACACAGGAACCTGCCTAGGTACCTGGGGGCAGGTGGGGCTGGGCCGGGTTGTCCTGGTTTTGGTAGGAAGGGGCCGACTGATGGAAAACCAAGGGGCCATTCCTTGGGCCATGTCCCACTAGATCCAGGTGGGGGCGGATTAACCCCTTTCTGTCTCAAGACCAGGTAGTCCTAGAACTCGGCAGGGCGGATCCTGCAGGTAAGGCAGGGGAGAGCGTGAGGGCAGCAGCAGGTGACATCAGCGGTTCTAATCAGGGAGTCCAAAATTCCCTTTTTTTGTTCTGGTGCAGGATCTGACTTTCTCCAGTTTCCCCAGCTTTGCAAGCTGAGTGACAGAACGTCATAATGATGATGTGTGGGAAGCCTGTCCACCATGTTTGATGCACGTAAGACCCGAGTGAGCGGGAGCTCTTCTGTGGCTATTATGGTCCAGGAGTCCCTGGGTGGCACAAACAGGTAAGTGCTCGACGACTAGCCCAAATATTGGCAGTTCAAACCCACCCAGATGGCCTCAGAAGACAGGCCTGGCCATCTGCTTCCAAAAGGTCACAGGCCTGAAAACCCTAGGGAGCAGCTCTACTCTGCACACATGGGGTCACCATGAGTCAGAACCAACACCAGCCACCTGATGTTTCCAGATCCCAGTACCATGGAGAATGTCACCTGGTTTCCTACCCCTCGATGCTGCACAAGACAGTTTGCAGCTGCACCCAGGATGCCCCGTGGGCACAGACTGCAAGGGAGACAGACTGCAAGCAGCCAGACAGCTGAACCAGGAGATGGAGTCCGGGGGCCGGGGAGAGCTGGGCAGCGGGAAGTGCTTTCTGCCCCCAGGAGGTTGGACCAATGCCACCCGGGGCCTCTGGCCTTGGCGCAGTCAGTCCCCAGCCAGCGGGCCTACCTCGATCTCCTCCTGCAGGGTGAGCTGTCGCTCCAGGCTGCACTCCACCATCTCCGTGGTCACTGGGAGCTTCTCAGGCAGCTTCCTGCACCGCTGGATCAGCACGGGGTTGCACCCGTTCAGGAACTGGTAGCCGAACATGGAGTCTTCCTGCCAGTGATTCATGACCCGCTCTAGAGGGGAGAGTGAGCTCTGAGCAGAGAGCAGCCCTCATGGTCAGGGGACAGCTCATGCACCGGGGTCTGCCCGTCCTGGTGCTCCCTGATGGCTGGGGACAGCTCACACTCTGAGGTCTGCCCCTGTCCTGGGCGCTCCCTGACGGCTGGGGACAGCTCACACTC